GGGTGTTGGGGGTCTGGGGGCTGGATCTGGGGGGCAGTAGGGCCTGGGGGTCTGTGGGGACCGGGGGGCTGAAGGGCCTGGTGACATTCTGTAGTGCCTGGGGGATGGATCTCAGGATCTGTGGGCCCAGAACGGGGTCTGTGCATGGGGGCTCTGTGGGGCACGGGGGCAGAAGTTCATCCTGGGGTCCCCAGAGGGGAAGGGCCAGGGGCTCCTGCTCCCCTGCCCGCTGCCCCTGTCCTGACCGTGTCTCCGCAGCCCCTGGCAGGGCCCGGCATGGTGCAGATCGTCATCTCCAGGTGAGCCCCGTGGGTCCCGTCCCCGCTGCCCCTGTGCCTGCCGGGGCCCGGGTGACCCTCCCCATCTCTCCCCCAGCGGTGGCACGGGGGCCCTGGCACAGTGGGTGCTGCTGGAGCTGCAGGGCGAGGTGGAGCCCCGGCAGAGCGGGGAGCTGGCCGGGAGCCTGCTAGGAGACCTGCACTACACCTGTGAGGTGAGACGGGACAGCGCCGGCACCTGCCGGGGACAGTCCAGCCCAGCCTCACCCTCCGCTCTCCCCAGGGCGTCCCTGTGCTCATCGTGGGCCACCACATCCTCTACGGGAAGGTGGTGCAGCTGGAGAAGCCGTTTGCCGTGCTGGTGAAGCAGGGAGGAGCCTCCCAGCCCAGCCCCGTGGGGCCCCACGGCCACTACACCGTTACTGCCCTCATCAAAACCAAACTGCTCTTCAAAACCCGCCCCAAGCCCATCATCACCCACGTGCCCAAGAAGGTCTGAGGGGAAGGATGTGGGCTCTGAACTGTGGTTTGCTGCTGGAAGGAGCAGCAGGGACTTGGGGAGATCCAGGACCTCATCCCTCTCCTGCACAGGGGACTCTGGCACTGCTGGGTCCTGTGTCTGGGCACCCAGAGCCCTTCCTGGGTCACTTGTCCCCCCCAGAATGACTATTTTCAGAGCTCAACCAAGCTCTTGGCCACAGACCCTATAGATCACCGCAGGGGACATGGCTCCTGGTAGGTAGGGACTTCTGTGAGCCTGGGCAGGGGTGTCCCACCCAGGGGCTGCCCACGGTGTCCAGCAGGTCCCAGGGACCCACTGTGGTCCCAGGGATCCATGGAGGTGCCATTGTGGAGATGTCTCCTTCTACCCCCTCCCTGCAGCTGTAGGACACCAGTGCCACGCAGGGACTCAGGACCAGCCTCCCTTGAGTCGGGCAGGGGGTTCAGGGACCCTCCCCAAAACACACCATGTGTCCTCACTTCAAGTCTTTATTTCCACAACTCCGTCAAGATATAAAAACCAGCCTTTTCCACCCGAAATATGGAAAAAAATTCCCCTGGCAGGTTCAAAAATAAATAGATTTACAAACCATCTGCGACAATACCAAAGAGCTACAAAAGTCTTCTAAAAAACCTTGTATTAAATTAAACAAAAACCAGCTAAAAGCTCCATCGTAGAAAGGGATTTTTTTTCCAAGTCCTGAAAAAAGGACCCACAGGTGAATTCCCTGGGGAGGGGAAAGTTGGGAAGCACCTTGCCTAAATCCCCATCTTCCCACTGCTGGGAAGGTAGCAGGGTGGGAGTGATGGGGCCAGAGACCCAAAGGGTCTCCAGCAACGCTCCGGCCGGCACACAGCCCCCCAGTTTTCCCAGTTTCTCCATGCCAGGATCCCCCCCTTGGCTCTTTGGCAAAGCTGAAGGAACCTGCTGCCCTCCTGGAGCAGCCAGACCCCCCGGCAGGCCTGGGGGGCTGCCCCTGGGTACGTGCCGGCACGCAGCCGTGGGGCAGAGGCAGCACCAGCCGGCAGTGCTGGCACCGTGCTGGCAGAGGCTGTGTGTCCTGGGGGTGGGAAGGGCTGTAGCACCACGGAGCTGGGACTGGAATCCCTGTAAAAAGCACCGAAGGGTGGAAGGTTCTGGAGTGGGGTGTGGGGAGCGCGGCCAGCGGCGCTCCACACCAGGATGCTCCATAGGGCACAGCTGGGATGTAGCTGGCAGCACCTGGCTGGGTGATGGGCAGCCCTGGCTCGGCTTCTCTGTGGCCAGCTTGGGATGGAAAAATGAAAATATAGGAAAAGTTTGCATCTTAATATAAAGAAAGAAAGCAAGATTTCAAGATCTGATGAGAAATGCCAAGGGCTGGGAGCGCTCAGCGCTGCCCAGCAGCTCCGGGATTGGGAAAAAGGGGTCTGGGGGTGTTCACTCCAGCACGTGGGATCACCCCAGCACCTGGTGGTTCCGGGACGGGGAAGAGGGGACGGCGGTGGTTACCCTGACACGTCAGATCACCAAGGCACCTGGGACAGCCCTGGCACGGGACCACCCCGCGGTCAGACCTCAGTGAAGACCAGCCCACACTGCTCCTGCCTCTTGCCGCAGCGGCGGGCGACGATGGCCAGGTAGAGGGTGAGCAGGGCCACCCAGTAGCAGGCATAGAGGATGGCACCTGAGACGAGGAAGGCCACCTCGGTCTCGCTGAAGAGGTCCTGGCTGTAGGCGGTGTAGGCCAGCCCGCCCAGCAGCACCGCCACCCACACCGACACCGGCAGCAGCCCCACGAAGTTCACCACAATGGTGCGGCGCCCTGAGGTGCCCCAGCCCGACTTGTTGATGGTGGCAATGGCGAAGATTTTGGCGGGCAGCAGGCTGGACATGTAGAGGAGGGCGTAGAGGGACATGAAGATCATCTCGGCACTGCCGCGCAGGAAGCAGGCGTAGGTGGCCTTGATGACACCCACCAGCTGCACCGTCAGCAGGAACAGGAGGATGTTCCAGACGCGGCCGCGGTAGAAGAGCTGGATGACGGTGGCGATGAGGAAGAAGGGGAAGAAGCCGGTGACCACCGACTCGTAGGTCATCCAGAGGTGATGCTTGTGGAACCAGAGCGCGTTGTAGAGCCACTCGCGGAAGTAGGACTTGCTCCAGCGGGTCTGCTGGTTGAGCCAGCGCAGGTACCGCGTGGGCGTCTCCGTCAGGCACTTGGAGCGAGCCGTGTACTTGGTCCGGTAGCCCAGGCTGAGCACGCGGTTGGTGAGGTGCCGGTCGTCCCCGAAGCTGCACTTGCTGCCCAGGAAGGTCTGGTGGTACCAGTCCTCGAGGAACTGCTGCAGCAGCGCGTTGCGGTACATGCCCAGGGGGCCGCTGATGCACTGCACGCACCCGAAGTACGACTGGCACGCGCGCTCCACGTTGAAGGCCATCCAGTACCGCACGCTGCTCAGGAAGGAGAGCCACGAGTCGTACTTGTTCAGGATCTGGGGAGGGGATGGATGTGAGCCCCGGCAGTGCTGCAGCCCCCTGGGGCCCCCAGCCCTGCCCTCCCTCGTGCCAGGGTACCTGGACATCGCCGCCGACGCCACCGACGTGGGGGTCGGCCTCCAGGATGCGGAGCATCTCGGCGGTGCAGGCGGGGTCCAGCACCGTGTCTGAGTCACACACCTGGGGGCAGAGGGAATGTCGAGCCCCGCTCCCGCCGCCCACGCGCGCCCGGCAGACAGCCCAGCCCACAGCCAGGCAAGCCTGAGCCATGGACGGCGAGACCAGGCAGAGCCCCGGAGACCGGCAGGCGATGGAGGGGAGCAGAGCACCGGTGGTACTGGGGCACCGCTGCAAAGGACACCCATCTCTGGCTGCTGGCACCGAGGGAGGACCTGTCCCAGTCACCACATGTGGGGACCTTGCACCCCGTGCCACACTGTCCCACGGGATGACACCATAGCAGGCCATGTGCTGAGGAGGTGAGGGGACACCCATGGGCAGCAGTGTGGGCAGCAGTCAACACCTCAGTCACCCCAGTGCCAGCGGCCCCCAGCCCTGGTGGCTCTTGGCCAGTTCAGGGGCCAGATCCAGTGACAGGCACCCAGGTGCTACTGGGAATTCCTGGGACTGCTCCCTTTCCACCCACAGCCCCTCTGCCCAGGATCTCACTGCCCACATCCCCTAGCCCATGCACGCACCTGGATATAGTCCACGGAGTCTCCGAGCGCCCGGAAGGCCGTGTACATCACCTCCCGCTTCCCGCCCCACTTCTGGAGGATGCAGGAGTAGGTGTTGCTGCGGACCAGTGCCTGAACACGGGCCAGCCCTTCCCGCAGCCCGGCCTCCGTCTCCCCCTCGCCCCACGCGTGGAAGTTGCTCCTCCAGACGTAGCTGCCGGAGTGCTCGGAGCCCATCACGTCGCGGAAGATGTCCAGCATGTAGGTGTCATCGGGGCCATTCCCGTCCACCACCATCACCACTTTGAGGTCGGGGAAGGCGATGCGCTTGACGGAGCGTAGGCACTTGGTCAGGTAGTCGGGATCCTCCTGGAAGGCGGCGATGCAGAGGGCCACCGAGCGCCCCGGCCGCACCGGCTGCCCCTCGCCCCGCATGCGCCGGTGCTCCAGGAAGGCGAAGAGGCTCTGGATGAAGAGGTGCAGCCCCAGGATGGCCCCGTAGAGCCCGAAGGAGAGGTAGTGCTTCTCCGTGTGGATGAACTGGTACCCTGTGACGTAGGCGGCCAGGATTCCCCCCAGCACCGCCACGGCGAAGAGGCTGGTCCCCACGACACGCAGGGCCGTGGAGAGGCTCCCTGGCATCTGGGGGACACGGGGCACCATCAGGGCAGGGATGCATTCTCCCCGTCAGGTCACCCAGAATGCAGAAGCGGGGTGGCCCTGCTCCTCTGCTGCCCCACGGCCACCCTGTCCCTCGCTGGTCACTGGTTTGGGAGTGACACCTTCCCAGCGCCTCCAAGGGGCCAGAGGAGGTGCGGGGGTCCCACACACCCCGCTCTGTGTGGTGCCAGGTGAGGTGCGGGGGTCCCAAGTACCCCACCGAGTACAGTGCCAGCACCCCCCATCCACCCAAGCAGGAGCACGGCTGCTCGCAGGCGATGGCTGGGCTGGAGGACAGGGAAGGGCACGGCGATGTCAGGGACCGGGCTGTCCCCGGGGAAATCGCGGCCGCCCAGAGCCCTCCTCCTTCCCGAGCGCGTGCGGTGGGACCCCCGGCTGCGGGGATGGCAGCGGCCAGACCCGCACCCCGCTGCGGGATGGGACGAGCAGCGCGGGCAGGACGGGACTGCGGAGGCGCCCCGGGACGCGGGCAGGGGGTGCGGGCAGGTCGGGGGTGCAGGAGCACGTGCGGGGTGCGGGCAGGGCGCGGAGCCGGCCCCAGGGACCCCCGGCGGCACCTCCCGGGCAGCCCCCTCCGGCTTACCCCCGGTCCCGCAGCCCCCGGCGCTCCCGGCTCCTCCCGGTCCCGCAGCCCCCGGCGCTCCCGGCTGCCCGTTACCCCCGGCCCCGCAGCCTCCTGTGCTGCCGGTCTCACAGCACCGCGGGGGCACCGCGAGCCGGCACCAGCGGGCCGGGAGGGAGAAGGAGGGACCGGGACTCACCGTGGAGGTGCCGGTGGTGGTGCCGCCGCTCCCCACCCGCCGCCGCCGCTGTGCGCCCGGCCCGGCCCGTGCGGCCCCTTTATACCGCGGCGGGGCCGGCACCGCCCGCAGCCCGCGGGGGCCCCGCCCGACACCGGCACCGGCACCGGCACCGCCGGCACCGCCCCCGGCACCAGCACCGGCACCGGCTCCAGCTCCGCCCGCAAGCCCCGGGAACCCGCCCCGCACCGGCAGTACCTGGCACCGGCCCCAGCCCCGCACTGCGGGAGTGATGACCGGCACCGGCGGCACCGGCGGCACCGGCATCAGCAGCACCACTGCTGCACCGGCACTGGCACCATCACAGGCATCACGGCACAGCTGCTACACCGGCGGCACCGGCAGCGGCTCCGGTCCTGCACCGGAACCGGCATGACCATCACCCGGCACCGGCATCAGGCGCGGGCAGGGCTCGGAGCCAGCCCCAGGGACCCCCGGCAGGCGCTCGGGGTGGAGGAGGCACTGGGAAGGTGTCACCCTGTCACCCCCAAACCAGTGACAGGCGAGGGACAGGGAGTGGCCACTCCATCTCCCCCCGCCCCGCTCTGGGGACCCCTCTCATGACACCCACGTGTCACCTTCCTGTGCCACCCGTCCCCCCGCGGCATAAGCCACCTGTGTCACCCTGTCCCTGTGGCCAGTGGGTCATCCTGGGGACAGCAGCACCTTGCCCTGTGCCAGCCTGATGGCAGGGGACAACCAGCTCCTGGAGGGGCCATTCTGAGTCTGTAGGAGGCACGGCCTCGACTCGGGGCTCAATTTCAGCACTTTTGGGCTTCTCAGCCCAGCCGTGTCCTGCTGTGCTGGGAGCTGGGTGTGAGGTAATGCCGGGGCTGGGCCTGGAGGCTCGGAGCACCAGGAGCTGGGAAAGGGGATCCCTGCAGCAGGAGCACCCCGGGTGGGGACATGGCCAGGACTCCCAGCCTTGCAGGGAATGGGGGTGCTGGACACCCCACACTTGGCAGGACACAGGGCAGCTGGGAAATGGGCTCCTGGGGCTGTGCACAGTGGGGCTGGGCTGCCCAGAGCCAGGGGAGCAAGGGGGCCACCAAGTTGGGTCCCTGAGGACTCTGCTCCCCCCACACTGTGGGTGTGCAGCAGCTCCCAGTGCAGGAATGGGGCCCATGGTGCTGCAGCCCTGCCTGGAGGGAGGAGGTGACTCTGATACTGGGGTATCCCTGAGCACATAGTGGTGAGTGGTGGTCCCAGCCAAGTACCCTGCACAGTCTCTTAGCCAGGGGTCTTGGTGCCACACCAGAGGGGCCCATCCTCAAACCCTGTGCTGAGGGAGCCCCCAGACTCTTCAGCATTCTTGTGGTGTGAGTACAGTGCCAAGAAAGGGCCACAGAATTCCAGTCTGGGGGTGCAGGCAGCAGAACTCCCCTCCCTCCTGACTCCCCTTGGGGACAGCCACACATTTGGTGCTGCCCAGCCAGAGGGAGCCTGAAGCACTGGCCCTGCCAGCTGCTTGCCCCGCTCAGGGCTCATCCTGGGGGTGATGCCCACCCCTCCGCAGACACAGGGTACATGACCATGATGGCACCCGTGAGCTTTGCGTGGCCCCACAGACATCACGGACACAGGGCTGAGCACGTCTCAGTTTAATCCCACACCTCGTCCCAGCGAGGCTCCCCTGCCCTCCGACACCGCCAGCGGCATCCTGGAGGGCACGGCCAGCCCTTCCCTGGGGGAGCCACCGGCCCCAGAGAGGAGCAGTTCACTTCCACGGGCTCGGCCCCACTATGGCAGCACGACGATCTTCTTCTCCAGCGTCTGCGGGGGGAACAGGACCCTCCTCACGGCGGCATCCAGCTCCTGCAGCGCCAGCTGCGCGTGCAGCAGCGTCGCGGCGTCGCGCTCGGCCGCGGCCACGTGCTTCAGCAGGCGGTACAGGTCCCGCAGCACGTCCCGCAGCACCTGGCACGGCACGGCACGGCACGGCAGCGTCAGCACCGCCCCTCGGCGAGCCCCGGCAGGCGCGGCGGGGCTGCTCCTTCCCCCGCTGCAACCGCGGCCACCGCCGGCCGCAGCCTCGGCCCGCCGTGACTCAGTTTCCCCACATGCCAGCAGCACATTGTGGTGATCCTTCAGCCCAGGGGCACCGGGGCATGCCGGGATCCCGGCTGTGGGGATTCCCGTGGGGAACTGGCTGTTTCCCCCACGGGAGCTGAGTCCCAACACGCTTGTTACTGGGAACTGCGGAGGGAGGCCACAGTGGTGGAAAAACCGGGCATTTCCAAGTCAAATCAGGGATGAACAACTCCCACAGCTCCCAAGAGTTGGCACTGCCCCCAGCATGGCATGGCAGTGTCCATGGCACAGCCCAGCAGCTCAGAGGGACACCCCCACAAAGCCCCCCTTCCCCAGGATCTGTTGAGGGAACCCTTTAGTGGGGGATGCCCAAACTGGGCATCTCAGTCCCTTGGGACTTTTCCTGGAAGCCATTTGGGCATGAGCCCTGGAAGCCATTTGGGAATGAGCCCTGCAGCCCCTACAGAGCAAAGGCCCTCCCCAGGGTATGCCCAGGAGCCCCTTGGGAGCTGTCTCTGCCCCAGGGACAAGCAGGGGCTGACCCACCTCAGTGACCTTCTCACTCAGCCCCCGTAGCAGCAGCACCACCACGTGCACAGCGGCTCTTCGCACTTCAGCCTCGGGGTCTGACCGGGCTATGGCCGTCACACAGCAGGTGACCTGTGGGGACAGGGCAGGGGGACATCACCAGGGACTGAGAGATGCAGGGGATCCCACCGGAGCAGCCACCGACGTGCTGGCAATGTCCCAGGAACGAGGATGGGAGCCCCATGCCCTGCTGAGTGCGGGCTCTGAGCAGCTCCCGGCAGGGCCAGGCGGCACATGGATGCCTCAGGAAGCTGTGTAAGAGTCTGTATGAAAATCAGGCAGAGCCAAAGGAATCCAATTAAATCCCGGCAGTGACAGCCGGGAGAATTAGCAGAGCTCACACCTTCCCAAAATAGCAGCGTGTGGCTCCCTGGCATCACATCAACTGCCGGGATCCACCGGCGCCGAGCGGGAGCTGAGGGGAGCAGCCCGAGTGCCAAATCCAAGATGTCTCACTCCAGGAGCACCGGGGGTGTGGCGGGTGAAGCTCTGGCTCCCACAGGGCACAGACCCATCGCCTCCAGGGCTGCCGGGCTCCTGGGAGTCAGGCTCACCCCACTGGGATCTCCCAGCAGCTCCTGAAGCTGTATCTCACCCACAGCCTGCAGCTGGGGCGGGTGAGGGCCAGCTCCGTGATGCTGATGATGCCGATAATGATAATTAAGATAACGGGAGAGTAACAAGGTGTCATTAAGCGGGAGGTGTCTCTGGCAGGCACCACTTGTGCCCCCAGGTCTCCTCTGGCAATGGCTGCCATGGGTGGAGCAGGCACCTAAAAATCAGGGCTAGAAGGCTACAACTTCCCCAGTGTTTGCTTCAGGCCCCATGGCTTTCATACTCCTCAATATCAGCAATTGTCACTCGCGTCCTTTACGGAAATGTCCCGTTTCCATATGGAAATGTCCCGTTTCCATGTCCTCAGCAGCCCAAGCATGCTCTACCAAATGCGCTCGTTAAGGAGAGGCCCCACTCTCCCCAGGCAGGGTCAGGGAAGGATGGAGCCCGTACCTCCTGGATGATGGACCCCAGCTGGAAGCCCAGGTGCTGGCAGAGCTCGCCCAGGTTGGAGAGGCTGCTGGCCCGCAGGGCACTGTCGGGATCCCGGGCACCCCGCAGGAAGGCGTGGATCAGCGGCTCCCGGTGCTGGAACACCATGTCCCCTGCGAGGGACAGCAGAGCTCTGTGTCACCACCCTTCCTGCCAAAGCCCTGGCTCCTTTGGGAACAGATGCGTTGGGCATCTGCCTTGCTACACCACTGGACAGCTGGATGCAACATCTGGAGTGTGGCTTGTGCCCCTCAGCACACACCCCGTCACTCAGCCCTGCAAACACCAAGTGTGAATCTCAAATTTCGACATCATCCAGACCCAATCCCCTGCCCCAATTAGCACACGGAGGTGCTGTGGAGGTGTGAGCTGCTAATGAGAGCTCACACCCGTGCTCAGCATCCACAACCATCCCGGGAGTGTGGTCATCCCACAGGAGATGAGCAGCTGTGTGCCCCACGGTGTGGACACACCTCCTACCAGGCAGGGCCTTGAGGGCTGGAAAGAAAGCTCCAGAAGGCCAGCTGGCCTGTGAGTTCTATGCTTTTCCAGCTCTCTCAGGCTCTGCAACTCCTTGGACAACGGTGTCCTGCAGGCAGATGGAGGCAGTGGGGTGGATGCCTTGGGATGCCCCAGGGTGTGGAGACAGGAATGATCCTTGTGGGCAGTGGAAGCCCCCATCACCCAGCACGTGGGGGCTCAGGGACTGGCACAGGGTGGGGGAGCACGGGGCAGCACTGTGATGCCAAGGACTCGCTGGGAATGTATCATGCTCTGTGCCTGCATCCCAGGACTTGGAATTCCAGCAGTATGAGCAGTGCAGGGTGATCCCCTCCAAAGCCAGCAGTGCACCAGCCCCTGTGCCAGATGGCTGCAGAAGGAGCATGCAACATTTCCTTTCCTCTCCTAGACAGGGAAAGCCGCTCCAGTGGGACAGAAAACAGGGCTGGGCACAGGGCAGCAGGGGGGCATGACAGCCTCTTGGCAGAGCAGGAGAGCTCAGAGCCCCAGAGAGCTGCGCAGCGATCCTGAAGTGCTGGATAAATCCTTGCTCTCAGATGCTGAAGCTTTGCAACAGAAACAACCTGGTGCAATTTGTTCTATAAATACGCCGGCGAGCCGGGACGCGCCGGAGCTGCTGCCCGCGGCAGCGGCACCACGGCGAGCGCGGAGAGCGGGGCAGGATGTGCCACCATCCCCGGGGCAGCTGCCAAGGGCAGCCTGCACCACGCCAGACACTCGGACACTGCCTGGGGAGGTCTGGGACTGAGGGGCTCTGAGCTGATCTCCGGAGCCCCACCGGACACAGCGGGATGCCCTGAACCCGTCCCAGCAGCGAGGACGGATGGTGGCACAGCCAGGCACTGATGCCACAGCTGGCAGAGCCCAGGGATGCCACTGGTGCCAAGGAACCTGCCAAAGGCCACAGGAGAATCACAGTCCCAGGACCCAGGGGGTCCTGGCCCTTCAGGGGCATCCCCAGCCAAGGCACACAGCTCCCACCCGGTGACCAGGGAGCTCTGCCTGGCTGCCCCAGCACCGTGGACACTGGCCGCCACTTCCCTGGCCACGTACAGCTCCAGCTGAGTGCTCCCGCTGGCCAGGCCTCCTCCACAGAGTCAGACAAGGCATTTTAGGACGTGTCCCAACAGCAGATGCCGGAAAGGCATCATCCAGCTTCTACCTCTGAGCCCGGCGTGTCCGGGCGCTTCCCAGCAGTCTCCAAGCCCGGTGCTGCTGAACGAGGGGATGGTGGGCTGCTGGCAGGACCTGCCATCCTGCTCCTGCTGCTGGCAAACCCCAGCCAGCTTCTCTTTGGCTTTCAGACCCTTCTCACCTTCTGACAACAGAAGTCCCCTGTGGGCTTTCCCCTGGTAATGGTGAGGCTGAGCAGCGCTGCGGCTGCTGGCAGCGGGCAGTGCCATGCCCACGGCCATGGACTCACCCAGCGCCCGGGTGACACGCATCAGCACCTCGCCCAGCTTCATCCTGGTGACAGCGGCCATGGTGTCCTCTCTGCCCTGCGCTGGGCACTCGTACTGTGCCAGCAGGACGGGCAGAATCCGCTCTGGATACTCACTGGAGAGCAGGGCAATGCCTGGAGGGGAGAAAAACTGGAAAATCAGTAATTTAGCAGTTGGCAGCAGGTGTCCACTCACTGCTGCTGGGTATGCCCTTTGACCCAGTGAGGACTTGCTGCACTGGGGGCAGCTGGGCACTGCAGCCAATTCTTGGGCACAGGGTCTGGTCACTGCTCCCAGCTCTTGGCCATCTGCACACGGAGCCAGCTTGTCTCTGTCCCTGCTGGATTTACCTGGCCCAGACTGGGAGCAGGAGCCAGTGCGTGCTACATGCCTGCTGCATCTCCCTGGAGTGGATGAGAGACCAGATCCCAGATGCAGGGAACACACCCTTCTCCAGCTCCAGTGCCCTGCCCTGAACACACTCCAGCCCCTCAATGACTGTCTTGGATGAGGGGCCCAAAACTGCCCCCAGGACTCCAGGAGCAATATCCAGCACATCAGGAGTACACCACTGCAGTCCGGCTCCATGAAACCCAGCGGTGCCACAACCGCTGGCTCAGCCCCAGCCCCGCTGCTGTGACAGAGAGCAAGCAGGATATGGGGACCTGTCTGGCATGGCCCCCAGCCCTGTGCTTGGCACGGCACGGCTCGGCACGGCACAGGTGCCGGCTGAGTCAGTGCTGCAAGGAACCGCATCAGGGTTAATCACCGAGCGGCGGCAGCTGCAGCGGCATTAATCACCGGGACGGTTGCAGCCTTTGTGCTCCAGCCGTGGGCAAGGACAGACCCATCCCTCTCAAGACCGTACAGGCAGCGGGAAGCACAGCATAAACTCCTTTCCCAGCTGCTGCCAAAGGTTACCAGCCCAACCCAGTGTGGGCCAAGGGAATGGCACACATCCCCTCCACGGAACGCAGGGGACCGTGACCGTGCATTGTCACCCAGGACACACACGTCACCCCTGCGGAAGCACCTGCCTGCAGATCCCATGGGCAGCCCGGTGCTGCGGGGCTGTGCCGAGCGTGCTGGGGCAAGCACTGACCTGAGGGTTTCCTAGGAAGGGGTGTGAGTACTCAGGAGCTGCCACCTTGGCAGAGCCCTGAGGGAGCACCAGTGGGTCTCCCATGTCCTGCTCCTCTGCCAGCCTCAGCTGCACAGGTCCCTCTGTGGGTGCTGGAGCTGTGCCCACGCTGCACTGGAACTGCAGCCCCGGCCTGAGGCACAGACCTGGCACAGGGATGGTGACCAGCTCCAGGGAGTACGAATAACTGGGAGACGAAGTCTCCAGCTTCAGGAACTCGGCATAGAGCCGACATGTGGCCCCAGGCTTGATGGAACACCACAAAGCCACAGTCTGGGAGGGCAGGAGATGCCAAGCCCTCAGCCTGCCCATGGCTCTCCTGCTCTTCACTCCCAGGGCGCAGAGCCTCCACAGCACAAAACCTTCCCTGACAAAAGGCTGGCGCTCGCCCGGACAGGCACTGCTCACCTTGGATGGCTGAGAGGTAGACAAAGGCGTCCTCATGCTGCACATTCTCCAGGAACACCTGGAAGGAAGGAAAGTGCCATCAGCAGCGACCCTGGGCTGGGCCAGCAAGGCCAGAGAGCTCCAATTATCGTGACCATTTCCAGGCTGGTGGCCTGTTCAGCACCAGCTCTGCTGGCAGGGGACACAGCAGGGGACAGGGACCAAGGCAAGGGACAGGGACCACAGCAGGAGCCTGGTACCTGGAGCAGCTTCTCCTGAAGCCGAAGTGCCTCTGGATCCCGCTGGGTGACCAGGCTGGCGAGGCGGCGCAGGGCAGCTGCCCGGCTGGGGGGCTGGGGGTCGTAGGCTGACACCAGCAGCTCCTGGAGCCCAGCCGGGGCCAGGCTGTCGGCACCTGGGGCTGGAGAGGCACCGGGCTCACGGCCCGTGCTCTGCTCCTTGCTCCTCTCCCTGCGAGCCGAGGGGCTGCCGTGTCCGTGGTGCGGCGCTGGGGGGCCGGGGGCTGTGCCAGCAGGGCTCTGTGCGGCCGTGCCACCAGGGCTCTGTGCTGCCGTGCCACCAGGGCTCTGTGCTGCCGTGCCACCAGGGCTCTGTGTGGCTGTGCCACCAGGGCTCTGTGCTGCCGTGCCACCAGGGCTCTGTGTGGCTGTGCCACCAGGGCTCTGTGTGGCCGTGCCACCAGGGCTCTGTGCGGCAGTGCCACCAGGGCTCTGTGCTGCTGTGCCAGCAGGGCTCTGTGCTGCTGTGCCAGCAGGGCTCTGTGCTGCCGTGCCAGCCGTCCTGCCCAGCACAGCGTCAGCAGCGCTGCCCAGCGTGCCGGGGGAGCAGGCGCCGTGGGTGAGGATGGCGATGCGCAGGTCCGAGGCCAGCTCCTGGGTGAGGGGCTCGGGGTAGGTGCGGGACAGCTCCTCCAGCAGCGGCACCAGCCGCTTCAGCACCGCGAAATCGCTGGATTTCAGCTGGGGAGGAGAGGAGCAGCGCTGGCACCAGCCTAACGAGGGTTCCCTCCCTGGGACGCTCCCTCGTGGGGGTGAGGAGCCCCAGAGCCCCATCCCCAGGTTGTGAGCCAGCCTCCAGGCACCATGAGCTCCTCTGGCCCAGTGCCAATCCCAGTGCCAATCCCAGCCCTGGCAGCAGCCACGGGAGAAGCTGGGAAGTACGTGATCCTGAAGAACAGCAGTGTCTGGGTATGGGGACCAAGCCAGGGACATCCCTCCCACCAGCACTGTGCCAGACTTGCCATCAGTCCTGCCTGGAAGGATGCTCCCAGCACAGCAGCCATGACCTGTCCTGAGCTGGAGAAACTCCTGCTCTGACCTGGATTTAGCTGCTAAAATCTGGGATGTGAGGCCTGAAAAGGGGGGCTTTAGCAGAGATTTTGGATGATTGCATAAAGCCCCTCGCCTGCTGAAACCCAAACAGCTCTGCAGCTGCTTCCAAAACCTTTCCCATTCCATTTTCCAAATTATATCACTCCCATTAACGCAAAAGTGGGAGCAGGAACTCGCCTGGGAGGGGCCCATTGCAGCCACAAGTCTCTGGCCTTAACTTCTCTTCAACTACAGTTCTTTTCCCAGTATTAGAAATTTAGCAATAAGAGACAATAAATGATCTCTTTCTGTTAACAGCTGGATCTTCCTTAGGGCAAATCCAGGGATGAAACAACTCCAGCAGCTCAGTGATGGCAGCATGTTAATGGATGTGCCATTGCTCCCCATGGCAGCTCCACTGAGTGACACAGAGCTCATACATATATAGGTACTACAAGGTAACTGAGAGATATAAATAACAATATAAATATGTATAAAATGTAGATATGAAAGTATAAGGGGATTTTCAAGGGTACAGCCCACATGGGAAGTTCACAATGCTCTGCAGCCAGAGTCTGTGACCGTGTGGGGACGCAGAGCGTGCACTGCTGGTATTTAAAGATGCTGTATGTGACTACACTGCTCTGTCAGGGCCTTTTTAGGAGAGACTATAAATTAGTTAATTGGGTCCTTGGGGGTGCCCTGCTCAGACTGAATCATCGGTCAGCACCCTGGCAGTGTCCCAAGGAACATAATTATATATCTATATATCTATTTACAGGCTGCGACTGAGCAGGGACCCCGAGCAGGGGCACCCAGCTGTGCCACTGCACCCTGGGCTGGGCGTGGCAGTGCCAGCCCCCTGCCCCACACCCCGCGCCCCCCGAGGACGCCCCTCACCTGGACGGCCCCGCCGAGCACGGCGGCCACCAGCCCCATGGCCATGGCGAGGGTCTGCGCCTCGGCCGCCGCGCCGGGGCCCCGCGCAGGGTGGGCACAGGCCCGCTGCAGCACGGCCGCCAGGAACTCCTGCACCTGCCAAGGGAACAGCCGTCAGCAGCAGGGACACCCCGGCAGCTCCCCTGCAGCTCCCCTGCAGCTCCCCTGCAGCTGCCGCGCCCAGCACGGTGTCCCTGTCCCACAGCTCTCCAGCACAGTCCCACACAAACGAGTGCTCCTGTCCCACACAGCTCTCCAGCACAATCCCACACAGCTCTCCAGCACAATCCCACACAGCTCTCCAGCACAATCCCACATAAACGAGTGCTCCTGTCCCACACAGCTCTCCAGCACAATCCCACACAGCTCTCCAGCACAATCCCATACAAACGAGTGCTCCTGTCCCACACAGCTCTCCAGCACAATCCCATAGCGTTTGGACACTGCTCTCAGGGATGCTCAGGGTGGGATTGTTGGGGTGTCTGTGCAGGGCCAGGAGCTGGACTCAATGAGCCCTGTGAGTCCCTTCTAATTCAGACCATCCTGTGATTCTGTAATTCTGTGAAATCCTTCCCATTTTCCTCCTGTTGCTGCTACCCCAACCCCAGTGTGAGCTCAGCCAAGTCACGTCCACAACTGGGACAAGGTGACGGTCAAACTGCTGGGGTCTCTCTGCTGCAGAAGCCCCCGTGGGGCTGGAGGAACAGAGGGGTCCCAGCTCCATCTCTGCCTCCTGCTGACTCCACCATGGGATGGAAGCTGGGACAGTCCCAAAGGGAAGCTCAAGGAGGGTCTGTATGGAATTGCCCCAGGTAAAGGCTTGGAAATCCCCGAGCCAAGGAGCTCCAGCCCCTGTCTACAGCTCTCCATACCAGCCTCCCCCTTATCCTGCACAGCTCACACTCCAGCTGAGCCATTTCCTGTGTTCTCACTTACTTTGGGATTTTTCCCACAATATTTTTATTCCACATGTAACGACCCTGCCTGGTTGGCACTGGCCTTCTCCACACTTGGCACCAACACCTTTGATCCCACAGGCTTCCTAACAGATCCTGAAATTAGGGAGTTGATGTTCTCCATGCCTTATCTTCTCCCGACAAGCCTGGGAAGGGTTTGGATCAGGGTGACTCCTACCTAACAGGTGTGCTGCAACAGAGGAGGAACTATTGTGTTCCTGCTTCAGAAAACAAAGTATGAGGGCAACAAGGTCCTCTTGCACCAAATTCCAAACTTCCACCCCCAGGGCACTGGGTGCAGGCAGCGTTTCCTCCTCAGCTGCCAGATTCCTTGAGCACATCCCTTAAGCAAGAAGGGAGGCTGTGGAAAAGGGCTTTGGAAAAGGCTGCATAAAAGGCTCAGGTACCTGCTGGGATAATTATTCCAGAGAAGAAATTACATCAAACAGCAAGTAAAAAAAAATTTGAATATTTGCTCTCACAACACAGTGACACACGAGCTGGAGGGGTTGAAGTTGTATTTAATATTAAAAAAAAGAAAATTGTGAATAAATAACAGTAGATTGTAACTGAGAAAAATTAAAACTTAAAAAATAATCTAGAAAAAAAAAACATTTTAAAGTGGGAGGGAAAAAAAAGGAAAAATAAAACACTGGGGCACAGTTGTGTCTCAGGAAGGAGGAGAGAATCCTTGGTGCAGTGAGGAAATCAAGTTGACCTTGGTTATGGAGGAGAATACGTAAATAAAATAAATGTGCAGTGGGGGGGCACAGCAGCTGCTGCTCCTGGGCTCCAGCTTTGGAAGGATGGATCCCACTTGCTCCCACCCCATTAGGGCCCCCCAAACACGCCAGGGAACCCCGGACTGCAGAACCTGCTCAAAGCCTGTCCCTGTCCCAGCCCGGGGCCTCGCTGAAACACAACCCCAGGCAGGAGGATAATGGATTTGTTGTCTGCATTTCTTTGGTGGTGGGTTTTTATCCCAGACTCCCGGCTGGACCCTGAAACCTGGCAAAGCCCTTCCCCATTTCCCAGCGCGCCCCTCCGGCCCGGCGGGCGGCTGTGATGGGAGGCAGGTGGGGACAAAGCGCCGCTGGCTGTGTCCCCTCTGCTGCCGAGCACACAAAGGCTCCTTTGTCCCGAAGGAAACGTGAGGAAACCTGCCTGAGCCGTGACCGCCCCTGCCCACGGCAGCACGGGAGCTGGCATGGCTGGGGCACTGGGGGAAAAACAGCAATAAAACACAGGATGGGGAAGTTCAAAGCCACCGGATCTGCAGGGGACCTGCAGGGGATCCACAAGGGACTGCCAGGCTGCTGCAGGGTCCAGCTGCCTTCCTGACCGACCCCATCCCAGGCAGGCTCAGGGGGAAAGATTTTAAATATCCTTTTTGGGACCAAGGGGCACCAGTGGCCTTTGGAATTACAATATTTAATAAATTTGGCACTGCCCACCTATGAATGTAGGAGCACAGTTATGCTGACCAGGTTGCTCCCACAACCTGGCCTTGGGTACTTCCATGGATGGCACAGCCACAGCTTCTCTGGGCAACCTGTGCCAGGGCCTCACCACCCTCACAGGGAGGAATTTCTTCACCGTGCCCCTTCTAACCCTGCCCTCTGTCAGGGGGAAGCCATTCCCCTTTGTCCTGTCACCCCAGGCCCTTGTACAAAGTCCCTCTCCAGCTCTCTGGGAGCTCCTTTAAGGACTGGAAGTTTCTCTAAAGGTCACTCTGGACCCTTCTCTTCCCCAGGCTGAGCAATCCCAGCTCCTCCAGCCTCTGCTCCTGGCAGTGCTCAGGCGATCCCCCAGCTCTGCCACCACCAACCTGCACAATGTCAGTGAACACGGTGTCGGAGACGCCCTCGCACAGCGCAGCCACCAGCTGCAGCACCAGCAGCCTCCTCCCCTGCCTGGCCTGGTACTGCTCCAGCTCCAGCAAACTCCCTCCAGGCTCCACAGCTGGGTTTGGAGCCTCCTCATCCTCCGCAGCCACCTGAGTCAGCTCCTGCCGGGAAGGGAGCGCAGGCACGGCGAGGCAGCGGTCAAACAGCAGGAGCCAGTGCCAGCAATGCCAGCTGACTGTCACACCACCCTCCACTGCTAGATGAAGGTTTCTGAGAGCTGCCCACAGCTCCTGGGGTCCCATCCCTATCCCCTGCTGTGACTATGGGCTGGGGCACAGAATCCCAGCCCAACCCAGGCCTGGAGGGAACCGCGGGGGGCTCCAAGTGAGATCAAAGGAAGCAGGTATGGGGCCCCTCTTCTAGAACCAAGGAAGCAACAGGGATTATTCCCAGCCTCCAAAACTCTTCAGACATGCTCCTGTAGTTAAAACAGCCCAGGGGGAGGATGGGGGTTAACCCCTTCAGGGATAGGGCTGCTCCCACTCCTTGGCTTCCCATGCAGCACACAGGGCTGCTCCAGCACATGCCATACCCCAGGACACACAGGGGGATGATCCCCCTTTTGCCTTCTGCTTGTCCAGGGAATCCCTTCCTGCAGGTATGCCCCAACCAGGGGCTGGCTGCCCTCACCTTCAGGCAGTGGATGAAGAAGTCTCCTGCCAGACCACTCTTCTGGCAGTGGGACAGGAGCTCCACCAAGCTCTCCACATGGCACTGCTCCAAGGAGATCTTCTGGTACAGGGCCTCGTCTTCATCACTGGAACAAGTCACTGTATCACCCACACAAACACACCCAGAACCCCCCGATGCCCAGACTCCAGGGCATGGTGAAATCCCAGCCTGCACTTCCCTGGAAGCCTTCCTTCCCAGCACTTCCCAGCAGAGCCTGGAGGCAGCTGAGCCAAATGTTGCCCAGGTCATTTGGGCTCTGCTTATTAACTAACCTGCACTCATTAACAGAAACCATGAGCCCAAAACATACGTTTCATCCAGCCCATAAATACCAGGTTTAGAGCTGGGTAAGTTAGGCAGTGGTCAGAGCTGTGGCAGCATGAGCCAGAGTCAGAGCCAGTATGGAACAAGTTTAAAGTAGCCCCAGTTCAAGCAAGGCAGAGCTGCTTCTAATTCTGGCTCTCCAGTACCTAAAGAGAGTTTATAAAAACGCTGGAGAGGGACTTTGAGCACGGGCATGGAGTGACAGGACAAGGGGGAATGGCTTCCCACTGACCAAAGGTGGGTTAGATGGGATAATGGGAAAGCATCCTTCCCTGTGAGGGTGGGGAGGATGGAGAGGCCCTGGAACAGGCTGCCCAGAGCAGCTGCTCCATCCTTGGAAGTGCCCCAGGCCAGGTTGGACAAGACTTGGAGCAACCTGAGATAGTGAAAGGTGTCCCTGCCCATGGCAGGGGTGGAACAAGATGAGCTTTAATGTCTTTTCCAACCCAAACCAGCCCATAATTCTAACTCAGGTCAGGAAAAGCTTGAAAAGAAGCCAAACCAAATGTATTTGTGAGGATTTTGCTGCAGGTGTCCCCAGCTCCCAGCACACCCCTGGGCACAGCTGTGCCTCTGCCTGCCCCACAGTGCTGCCCTGGCCCTCCTGCCAGCTCACAGCCCCTCTCTTTAAACCCAGCCTCCTGCTGCTGGACATCCCAGCCTGTGTGGCTGGAGACTAAAGGCTGCAGTTAATTCCCAGCATGGCCAGCTCTGCCTCCACTTAGAGGCCATCTGCCCGCGCCAGAGGAGCTCCAGGGCTGCTCCGCGACGCTGGCACTGCCACAGTCTGTGCTGTGACTGTGCCACCTGTGCCCGAGGGACTCCGCTCACTGTGTCACCAGACAGGCTCGGGCTGGAGGCTGGAAGCTGAATTTGGGGGGTGCTGAGATTGGAAATGCACATCCCCCTCCCAGACACTGCGCAGGCAGGCAGGGAGTGCACACCAACACTCAGATGGAGCGTGATGCTTCTTGGGGCTGCAAGTCAGAGATCTGTCCGGGGAACCTGGGGGCTGTGTTGGCTCTGTGGGCTGTGTGGAAGTGTCACCTGCCTGAGCTTGAAGGGATGAGACCTTGTGGGATGGCTCTGGCAGCCCCCTGCTTTGCCCAGGCTCTCTGCCAGGCTTCCCTGGAAAGCCCCGGGTGCCGGGTGACCCAGGGACTGTCCCACAGCACTCACCTGACGGTTTCCTCCAGGACGATGGCAGCACCGCCCTCGCTGCCCACACGGAGCTGGCACTGTGGGTGTAGGGTGGGCACGTGGCTGCTCAGCCCAGCCAGGCTTTCCAGCACAGCCAGGGACTGCTCCCGCTCTGCCTTCTCCAGGAACCACAGCAGGATGTCCTGGCATGGGGAGCTGTCAAGGAGAAAGGAGCCAGTGGTGACACTGCTCTGCCCACTGCACCGTCCCTGCACAGGTTTTGGGATGAGGGACGTGACTGGAGTGCTCTGGAGCAGCCACGGGCTCTCCATGGGATGCTCCAGCTCCTGGCTCTGGCAGCGAAAGCATTTGTGCCTGTTCCTAAGGGAATCAGCAGCACATCCTGCCCTTCTGGCGCTCCCAGATGGAAGGATTTGGGTTCCTCCACACTTCAGGCTGGCAAGGAAGCACTGTGAACACCCTTGGCACGCCCTGCCTGTGCCTCACGCCGAGGTGACAGGGGCTGGTGGCAGTGCCAAGGGAGAGGAGGAAGGAGATGGGAGCACTGACGTGGCACGGGGAGCCCTGCCAAGGGAAGAAGCAGGTTAATGAGGTGAAGCAGCCGCACTGGGCCGTGCCAGGGGTCTGGAAACCCGAACACTTCCAGGCAGCTGTGGGCTCAGTCATCCCTGCCAAATTCCTCAGCAAAGGAAGCAGCGACTGCTGGCCCAGCAGCAGCGTGAACTTGGCTCGTCCCACCAACTTGTCACGGCACTCACTGCTCTTTGAAGTGATTAACGAAGCCTTTAATATTAAACAGCACAGGCTGTGTCTACACACACCTTTTAGGGAAAGCCTCCACACGCCAGGATCACTGTGTAACCCCACCAGGAATGCTTTTACCAGGCTGGTCCTAACTCCAGGGAAAGCCTGGGGGGACCAAGGAGAGAGGAGAGCCAGCACCTGGTCACCCCTGTGCCTGCCACGACTGCACACCAGTCATGGGGAGCTGGGCATGGTGTGGGCTTTGTACCAGAGCAGAGTGATTCCAGATTGGAGAATGAGCCCGTACTTCCAAGAGGCAGTGCTTAAACTGTTTTCCCAGTTTTTATGCTATTTGTAGATCCCTCCATCCAGTTTCCAGCATCACTACCTCCATCCATGGACAACCACAATCCCTGCTGCAGGCAGAGCCACCCTGCACTCCCAAGGGCATGCTCACCTCCACACAGAATATCCTGGCTTCAGGGAAGACAAAAACTAACATGAGAACAGCCTCCTCAGGCACGGGCTGCCAGTGAGGCTGTGTGCCCTGCCCATGGTCACTGCCTGCCTGGAACAAGAGTGCTTTGGGATGAGAAGATGGATCTCTGCTCCTGCCTGTGCCCTGAGCGTGGCTGCTGGAGGGGGGCAGAGCCCAGCAGATGAAACCCCAGCAGAAGCAGAGTACAAACCCTCCCTTACCGTAAGTATGACACATTCTGCTTGGCGAAGGAATAGAGGGAAAACACCACTCCCAGGACTGGCTGCAAGGATCCCAGCAGCAGGCTCGAGCTGTCATTCCCAACCACATATACCTACAGAGAGAGGGAGGGGAGTCAAACACCTGCACGGGGCAGAGGGGAGCTCAGAGCACCTCTGTGCACAGGGCAGCTAGCAGGGAGGATGGTGGAGGGCTCTCAGTCTCTTCCTTCAGTCTGCAGGCTGGCTTCCCTGATTATGCCACATTCCCTATTAAAACCCGCCTTCAGCACCATCTTTCTCCAAGAATTTGCTTAACCACAGCAGGGCTCCAAGCTACAGGAAGGCTGCAGGCAGTTATTTGGGAAGTCTGCTGCTTAGGAGTAAGGTCCTGCCTTACCCAGGGATGCAACAGACACCCTGGAATGAGCAAATCTTCACTGAATGACTGTAAATCCCAAACACAGAGGTCAGTCACTAGCAGGGCAGTTGGGCTAGTGGGTGCTGAGCTGAGGCACTGGGCTGCTCAGGCTCTGGGGGGACTGCAGAGGCTCTGGGAATGTTGTTGGTGCTCAGGGGGTACGACAGCGTCTCAGGGGTCTTTGGGGATGCTGTAGAGGGTCTTGTGGGAGGTTGTAGAGGCTCCTGGGGGGCTATAGGGGCTGGGGGGTTCCAGAGCCCTGTTCCTCCCCTCCACCTCATCCAGCACCCTCCCAAGAGGCTGAGAAATGGCCCCCACAGGGCCCTGCCCTGCTCTACTGATGCTCACAGATCTGTTTTCACGTGCTAATCCCCAGGGAGCCATTCCTCCTCCCCAGACCCTCGTGTACACAAAGCCTCCCAATGAAGCCCCAAGGACGGTTTCTCACTAAGCATCAAATGACACTTGTTAGGCAAGAAACCCCCACCCAAACCTGGGGTCCCCTCATTAATCTGGCTGCTGTCAGGCCCCCAGTGCTCTGCCATTAAGGAGGGACCCACCTCAACCCCCCCAGCACTGCTCTGGGAGGGAGCAGCCCTCCAGACCGGTCTCTGCCTGCCAGCCAGTTACAACAGATCGTTACTGGGAAAAGAGACAACAATCCCAGCATTTAAGAGCTTAGCCTGCCTCGGGGCATGCCAGGAAGCAAGTCACCAGCTTCTGAAATTTGAATTCCTGGACTGGAGATGTCCTTCTGGGTTGGAATGTGCAGCAGGAAGCTGCTGGAGCCTGCAGTGGGGCACTGGGGTTACTGGTGGGAATGGCAGGAAACGGAGTTATGAGGGGAGGTGTCACAGGAGAGACCTCCACAAAAAGCCCTCATCCTTCACAGGAAGCACAAGGATGGACCTCACCAATCCCTCAAATGCCAGGACCAAGATCTGTGCTCCAAGGAAAGCTTAGAGCTCCTTACAGTGCCCAAGGGGGCTCCAAGACGGCTGGAGAGGGACTTTGGACAAGGAGCAGTAACTTCCAACTGCAAGAGGATGGGTTGAATGGGATCCTGGGAAGGAATCCTTCCCTGTGAGGGTGGTGAGGGCCTGGCACAGCTCATGTGGAGGCTGGGGTACTCCTGCAGATGAACACCAGACAACTGAGCATGACTGCAGGAGACACTGGGTTTGTGTGGCCCAACACACACTGAACTGCTCACCAGGTCTCAAACCAGCTCTTTTTCTCACCCAAAGCAGACACGGTACCTTGAGCACGTCTTCCACACAGCTGCCCAGCTCTGCCTCTGGCACCAGCACGGCCCCTGCTGTCAAATCCTGCAGTGCCAGCTCTGAAAGCAAAGGACAGAGACATGAGCCCCCCAAAACAGCCTGGAGCCCCCAGCAGCAGAACTGCATTCCCTGCACCCAAAAGCACTTCCACAGCTCCCTTCCCTCCCCACGGGAACAGACCAGCCCTCATTAGCCGTACTAATTGTGCTGTAGTGCTGTAAACCCCCAAGGAGACATGGAAATCAACACAGACCACAACTCCATGAAGGGTGATTCCCCAGAGAGCTGCTGGCCAGCGTGGGGAACCAACAGCTTCCGTCTGGAAGCCCAGAACAAGGATGTCAGACTGGGAGAGGTTCCCAAGGAGCACGGGGCAGAGCCAAAGCGCTCAGCTCCCACGCTACAGCGACTGCACTCAAGGGTAAACACAGTGCACCCAGACAAACTGACAGGGGCAGCACACAGAGCTGGGCTGCCACACTCCCCAGCCTGGCTGCTGGCCTGAGAAAACTCAGATGGAACGACAAAGACCAGTGAGGAGCAAATCCAGAGCCCTCCCCAGTCCAGGCAGGTACCTGTGGCCTGGCAGCAGCGGCGGAGCGGTGCCAGCAGGGGCTGCAGCAGGTGCCTCTCTGCCAGCTCTGGCTGCTCCCTGGCCATGCTGAGCAGCGTGGTGGTGGCCACACGCTGGAACTGCCGCGCTGCCACTTTGTCCTGCATGTGCAGCAAGTCCAGAATCTGCAAGGAAAAAGAAACAAGGATCAGGAACCCCTCAGAGGGGACAGCCTGGCACCTCACAGAACCAAGGAGCCACCCATGTGCAGCTTTGCTGGGCAGCTGGCATGACAATGTGTGTGTGGAAGAGCCAGTGTCCTTTCCACACACGCAGAACACCTCTCTGGGCTCAAAGCAGGAGCCTGCACCACTCCCAGAGCCAAAGGCTGGAAGCAAGAGCTACACACAGAGCTCTGTGTAGCACAGTGCCAAGTACCTCATGTGATCAGACATCATCCAGCATTTCAATAAAACATGGAAAATTCAAGAGTGGAAACGTCTTACTGCCAGAAAAATATCTCCTGGCTTGAGCCAGGCCACACTCAAGCAAAGGAAGAGCCCCAGCACTCTCCAAGCCAAGAGCTGGCTCTGCATTCCCTGGCAGAGGGGATGAGGGACTTACCTGGGGGCACACCTGTCTGTAGTAGTCCTCGAGGGACAGGCACTGCTGGGGGCAGGCAGCCAGGATCTTCCCAACTGCATCACATTTCCTCCAGTCCAGAGCTGCTGCTTCAGCACCAGCACCACCTACAACAGCAGCAGAAATCCCGGGTCAGCTCCGACCCACGGCCAGCTCTGGCTGAAGCCAGGTGTTCCTAGCCAAAAACTGGATTTTGAGCTTGTATTGCTCTTTCAGAGACACCTGAACTTAATGATAGAAAGGGGAAAATTGCTGTGCAAGAGCCCTGATAATGGAAAGCAACTCCTACAGCCAGGTGGGTGAGCCAAAAGGTGGGGAGAGGTTGTGCTTGGATGGTTGGAGTTGGCCAGACGAGATGTTGGCACTAAAAACTGTGGGATTCAGCTTGTGGAGAGCAACAGCTTCCTTCCCTGGCAGGACATGGAGAGCAGGGGATGGGATGGGTCTCTCTGTCCCTACAGCTCTCACAGCCCAGTGCCCAGCACGGCTCCCACCACACTGGCACTGGGACAGGGCATTTCCCAGGAGTGATCCCACCATGGACACACACAATGTGTGACCCCATCTAGGCACAGAGAGGCTTGGAGCCTTTCAGTGTGGCCGTCTAACATATGTGTATCCCAAATTAGAGCAGTTTGGGGGTTCAGCACAGTCAGAGACAATCTGTGTGTCACCATGTCACCTCAGCCTGGCACAAGCCAGCCCCTACATCCAGCTCTTGTGGCTCTGCTCTTCTGGGCCTCTCACGGGATGAACTGTCTCAAGACAGCTCTGGATCTGTGATGCTGGGGCCCAGAGCCCCTCACTCACCGTCTGTGCCCTCCAAGACACCCCGAACCACGGCCTGCACCCCGCCTGGCCTCAGCAGCCTCTCGGAGAGCAGGTGCCCGCAGAGCCGCCGCAGCCAGGCCGGGGCTGCCCCGGCACCCGGACACCTCTGCAAGGGAGCAAAGCAGCAGCTAAGGAGCCTGTCTGCACACACCTGTGCCAAGCCCCGGGGAAACAGCCCATGCTCTGACTGAGAGCACAGGATAGCACAGGATACAGGCTTTGAGTTGCTGCTTCATCCAGTGGCACAAAGCAAATCGGGAATTAATGAGAGCTCAGCCCTCAGCTGCTCAGCATGCTGTTGCACCTCTGGAAGTGTCCAAGGCCAGGCTTGGAGCAACCTGGGATAGTGGAAAGTGTCCCCACCCACGACAGGGAGTGGAATGAGATGAACTTTGAGTTCCCTTCCAGGCCAAGCCATTCTAGGCTTCTATGATTCTATTAAGGGCATTATCCCATGGGGATTTTCCTAAAACAACACTTAAGCGATTCCCCATCTCCTCCTCCCCAGGATGCTTTGGAACAGCCCCAAAGAGCAGCAGGTGCTCTGTGTCATGCCCGGAGTGGGAAGGGTGAGGTTTGGAGGAGCAGAAGCTGTGCTTGGCCGGGCACGGCAGATGTGGGTGCCAAGCCAAGGTGGCACGTGCGGCGATGACAGTCCCTGACACACCCACACTCCGCTCCCGCACAGCAGGGCTGGAATGACACACGCCCAGCGGCCTCGCCAACGCTCAGGGACTGGTTTTTAAGCTCTAAGAACACTTCCAGAAGAGCAGCATCCCCGGCGTGTGGGAACCACGGGGGTACGGACGCTGGCAGCCCCGTGCCGGGGATGGCCCCGGGTACCTGCTTGGGCTGTCCCTGCAGGACGAGCAGCTCCTGCACCGCCAGCGGCTGGTAAACACGGTCCAGGATGTCCCTCAGGGCTTCCCGGCACTGCGCTCGCTCCGCTTCCGAAACACCCTGCAACAAAACATACCAGGGCTCTAACAGCTTGGCTGGGCACTGAAGCCCCGGTCCCGCCGGTGTGCCGGTGCCCCGCAGCCTCTCGGTAGGCTCCGTGCCTCCCGTTCTTTCTCCCACACGGGGCAGGACACGGCAGGCACCGCCTGAGGAGCGGGCTGCGCTGGGCTGGCCACGCACACACCGCCGGGGAGCGGGGACACGGGGTGCGAGCGTGGCACGGACCTGGCAGAGCGCGGCGGGGCCGTGCCCCAGCCCGCAGAGCCCGCAGAGCAGCAGACGGAGGTGCCGGGCGAGCAGCGGGGCGCCCAGGGCCGGCAGCCGGGCCAGCTCGACCAGCGCGGCCACGGCGCCTCCAGCGCCAGCGCGTTCCTGCGCAGCGTCTCCGGGCACAGGGCGGGCTCCCGGCCGGGCTCGGCAGCGCTGCCGCCATCACTGGGCGGCCCCAGCAGCAGCTCCAGCGCCTCCACCACGCGGGCCGGCTCCGCGCCCGGCTGCGCGCCGCCCGCCATGTCGGGAGCGCTGTCGGGGAGCGCCGCCATGCTCAGGGTCAGGGGAAGGGGCGGGGCGGCGGCCGGCCGCCATGGCGGGGAGGGCGCGCGGGGGGCGGGGCCGCGCGGCTGCCGCCATCTTGGGGAGGTCGGGGACGGGAGGAGGGAGCGCCTGAGGGCGCGGACGGCACTGGGGACGAGAGTGAGGGACAGGACAAGGAAAACGGCTTCCACTGCCGCGGCACAGGGTGGGTGCGCTGGTGGGAAGGAATCCTGCTCACTCGAGAGCGATGAGGCCCCGGCAGTGGCCCAGAGCAGCTGTGGCTGCCCCTGGATCCCTGGCAGTGCCCAAGGCCGGGCTGGACACTGGGAGCACCTGGGACAGTGAAAGGTGTCCCTGCCATGGTGGATGGAGTTGGATTATCCGTAAGGTCGCTTCAAACTCTTTAACTCTTCTATAATTCTGCTTTCCCTGTGGAGGGGGCCACGGCCACACCTGCACAGCAGGTAAAGCCTTCGAGCACGGTCAGAGCCTCACGCACAGAAATGTGGTCTGATTTTCTTAAAACAATTTATTATTTCAATTTTATATAAAAACCATGCAATCAACACTTGGCCACTGCTGGTTTCCCAGCTCGCATCAGACCCTTTTCCCATGATAAAAAATACAAACCGTGACAACAGCTAAACACAGAGGTCAGGATTTTGGGAAAGCCCTTTGATTTTGGAAAGCACCTTTCAATGACTGCACACTAATTACACCTGGCACAACATAGGAGGAAATCAAACCACAATCTAGGGTACAGAAAAATAGAAATCTGGCTGTACATACTGTAGTAAATACAATTCTCTATGAGGGTGCATCTTTGGTCTGTGTTGATCAAGTACCTCATTGCACTTCTCCATCACTAGGTTCACGGTCCGAGCCTGTGTGGGGCTGGCAGCATGAGGTATTTTGGAGAGCGCCAAGAAACCCTTGTTCCCCTCATGGAAAAGGGAAGAAGGACCTGATCCCGCCCCCCACAGCTGGGATCACCTCAGTCCCAGGATAGGGAACGGACTAAACTCTTCCATGCCCTGGAGCCAAGGGGGCCAGGAAACACCCAGACTACCCCAAAACCTCCCCATCCCCGGCGAGCCTGAGCTTTTCTCAGTGAGGGAGACACGGGCACTGGGTTCAGGAGGTGTTGGAGGGGCTTTGGCCACGCCGGACAGAGACCGATGTGAGTCCAGAGAGGTGAAATGAGGCAGGGACAGCAGTGGGCTGGGGGTCCCTAATCGTCCTCCTCGCCGCCGCCGTAGAGCTCGGCCAGCTTGCGGAAGCGGCCGCCCCAGTCGTTGAGGTAGTCGTAGTCCTGGTCGCCGTCGGAGGCCGAGGAGTTGAGGGAGCTGAGCGAGGTGGCCTCCGAGCCGCTGCCCTCGTAGTCGAACACCAGCAGCGAGTCGTAGGGCGGGGCCGTGGGGTCCGTGTCGGCCGCCTTCAGGTTCTGGGGGGACAGGGGGGTCAGCACCGGCGTCCCCCGAGCTGTCACCCCCCGGGCTCTCCAGGCCAGCACTCACCTCGTCGATGAAGTTGCCGATCTCGTCGGGGTTGGCGGGACGGGGCCGGTACTGCGGGGCCGCCATGAGCGGGGGGGCCACGTCGTTGCGGATCACCTCGGGCCGGGCGTCCAGCCCCCGGTGCAGCTGGCTCAGGTCGTAGTCCTGGGGGGACAGGAGGAGTCAAGGCTCGAGGGACAACCACGGGCAGTGCCACCACCACTTGGTGGGCAGTGTCCAGCAAGAACAGCCATCCCACCTGGTCCTCCTCGCCACCGCCCTCCTCGTCGTAGTGGTACACATTGTCCCTCATGTCATCCTCGGGGGGGAGCAGTGGTTCCTTCACCACCTTCCTCCTCCTCACGAAGAGCAGCAGCAGCAGCAGGAGGACTGCAGGCACAGAGAGGGGGTGTCAGGGCAGCAGGGAGAGGGTGACCCACACTCTGTCCCTCCCATCCTCGTCCCCTAGTACTCACTGAGCAGCGCCAGGATGCCCCCCAGGATGCCCAGGATGGCGGGCACGCCCATGCCACCGGAGATGTACGCTCGCCGCTCGCAGTTCTTGGCTGGCCCCTCGCAGCTGCACACCTGGGCTCGCACTGCCGTGATCTGATCCTTGCCCTGCGCATCCAGCAGCTTCAGGAAGATGCTGTACTCGCCCGGCTCCAGCTCCTTCTTCATGCTCAGCTTCACCTCGTCTTGGTGAACCACAGAATCATTTGGGTTGGAAAAGGTCTCCAAGATTACTGAGTCCAGCCATGCCCCAGCACTGCCAAGGCCACCACTGACTCACCTCCACAAGTGCCACATTTATGCAGCTCTTAAATCCCTCTAGGGATGGGGACTCCACCACTGCCCTGGGCAGCCTCTTCCAATGCCTGAGCACCTTTTCCTTGAATGAATTTTCCCCAATATCTAACCTAAATCTCTCCTGCCATAACTCAAGGTTGTTTCCCCTTGTCCTGTATCTTAGGAGCAGATCCTAACCCTCACCTGGCTGCACCCTCCTGCCAGTAAGTTGTGGAGAGTGAGAAGGTTCCTCCTGAGCCTCCCTCAGCCACTCCTGGTGCTCCAGCCCCTTTCCCAGTTCTGGTCTGGGAACGCCCTTGGCACTGGCACAGGACTTTGCCCCGTGGCAGGTCCCCAGCCTAGTGCTCACTGCAGGGCCCAGCACCAGAGCAGGTGGCACCCACCTGGTTGCACCATGCTGGCAGTCCAGTTGCTGCCAGAGCCGTGCATCAGCTCTGCCTTGAAGGGGTGGGTGTTGGGAGGCAGGTCCTTGTCGATGATCTTCAGCGTCTGCTCCTCGGGCTGCCGGTTGCAGATGTCGAAGCTGCGGGGCTCCGGCACGGGCCCGTTGTCATTCACATCCTGAAGCAGGAGGAGCAGTGTCCCCGTGCCGGTGCCGTAGTTTGGTGACCCTGTGGGACTAAGAGTCAGTGAGGCAGCCAGGGAGGGGCCTGCACCCCATGGGGGGACATGGAGAAGGGTATGGGGGCAGCAGCTGAGACCCTCACCGTTGTCCACGGCCAGGACGATGGCCTTGTAGGTGCTGTTGATGGCATGTGCCGACTCCCGGTCCAGCGGATGGGCTGCCGTGACGATGCCGTTCTCAGGGTCAATGGCCAGCCACCCTGCAGGGTCGCTGCCCATGCGATACCTGGGGGCAGGCAGGGGTCAGCAGGGGAAGAGAAAGGGGCACACGGTGCAGCGCAGCCCCTCAGACATCCCAGCAAAGCCCCTGCTGCTATCACCCTCCACTCACGTGATTTTCTGTCTCTGGTCCTTGTCGGGGTCCTGGGCTGTGTAGGAGGTGACCTGGTATCCCACTGGCACATCCTCCATCACCTCCACCTGCTTCACTGGGGGTATGAAGATCGGGGCTTCATTCACGTCCCTGACCACCACCAGGACATTGGCTGTGGCAGGATTCAGGGCCACGGTGAAGGGGACCTCATTCTGCACTGACACCACGAGCTTGTACCGGTTCTGGGTCTCATAATCCAGGCCCTGGGGGTGGGAGAGAATCCAGGTAGTGCCAGCAGGGAGTCAGCTGGTGCTGGGGCAGCCGTGTGGCAGCAGGACCCACCCTGGCAGTTTTCAGGAGCCCATCGTTGGTTTTGGGGTCAGTGGTGATCTCGAAGTTGCCCTGCGGGTCCCCACTCTGGATGCGGTAGACGGCGCGCCAGGCCGGGGAGCCTGGCAGGTCCTGGTCTGTCACATGCAGCCGGGCCACCAGCACCCCCACCTCGTTCTCGTCCACTGCCTCCTCATACTGCAAGATGGGACAGGGACAGTCACCTGTGTGGCCCCAGGCACCCCAGGTGGGGGCTTGTGCCACGATGCCCGGGGAGGGCAGCGGCTGGGGCTGGGTGGTACCGTGGAGGGGTCGAAGACGGGAGGGTTGTCATTGGCATCAGTGACTTTGATGATGGCAGTGGCAGTGTTGGTCAGGCCAGTGCCTTCCTGGTCTGCAGCCTGGATGATCAGCGTGTAGTTGGGAGTGGTCTGCAGAGCAAAATCATCCCAGTAAGGGCTGGGGTGGGGACTGGGGTGTTCCCCTCCTGCAGGCATCATCTGCCTGCTCCTCCACCCTTCTCCGGCCTCGCTGTTTCCTGCTGGCACACAGGCAGCTGATGTCCCAACTGCCCACCCAAGGGGGGCTGGCACTGTACCCACTCCAGGGCTCAGCAAGGTTCCTGGAGTGTCCCCAGCATGGCTCCTGGTGGGCTTAAGGCTGTAGACACCCCTACAGCCAGGGACAGTGACCCAGGGATGCCACATCCCAAAACCAGATGGACCCCAGGGCTGCAGTATCCCTTTCTCCCCATGGCACATCCCACTGTGGAGTAGCCACAGGTTCCCTTGGGCTGTGGCAAGGTGCCCACCTCCCGGTCCAGTCCTGTGCCAATGACACTGATGATGCCCTTCTCGGCATTGATGGTGAACATGCGCTGGGCACCCTTGGGCTCCTCGCTTTGGATGGAGTAGCCGATGATGCCGTTGTTCACATTGATCGCATCATCTGCATCCGTAGCGTTCACGGTCATCACAGATGTGCCTGGACACGGGGACAAGCCAGGGAGACTTTAGTGGTGGGACAGAATCCACCGGACACCTGGCACTGCTCGTGCTCAGGGTCTGCGTGGTCCCGGCTCAGAGTCCCCCACGTACCTGGCTTTGCGTTCTCCTCAATGTAGCCAACGAAGACTTGCTGGGTGAAGACGGGCCGGTTGTCGTTCTGGTCAGTGACGGTGATGATGATCTCCATGGGGTCTTCCACGGGCTGCCCGTTGGCCGACACGGCGTGGGAGTAGAGCTGCAAGGGCACAGTCAGTGTGTGTGCAGTGCCCAGGACTGCCCCTGTCCCGCCACAGATGTCCCCTCACTCACCACGTATTTGTCCTTCTCCTCCCGGTCCAGGGGTTTTGTCACCTCCAGCCACCCCGTCTCCCGCTCGATGATGAAGACACCCACGGGGATGGTATCCGCTCCCTGCCCCGTGATGCTGTAGAAAACCTTGGTCTCCTTGTCCTTGTTGGATTTGATCTGGCAGAGAGGGAGGAATAAGCCGGTGGGGACATGTCCCAGCACTCTGGGGACGCCCCTGGACCCTGCCTGGTCCCTGTGGGGACACCCACCTGGACCAGCTTCTTGGGGAAGGGTCCCCGCTCATTCTCAGGGCAGTTGATGGGGGGGATGACCCAGTCCCTCTTCTGCCGCCGGAGGCCGTGTCCATGCTCCGGGAAGATCAGCACGTCTGGTACTGTGCCCTGTTGGGACAGTGGCTCTGTCAGTGCCAGCACCTTGCTGAGCCCTCTGCACCAGGGACAGGGCTGCTGGGACCCCAGGGAGTGGCTCCGTGCTTTACCTGCTGCATGCGCTCGTGGTGCCGGTGCTGGTGCCGCCGGGGGCGCAGGGTCACCTTGGCCGAATGCTTCTTGCCCGTGGTGTCCCAGGTGTGCACAGCGAAGGTGATGTCCCGCTGCTGGAGCTGCAGGGGCCGGGTGGCAGAGACAATGCCATCCCTGCTCACCTTGAAGCGCGTGTCATCCGGGAGGAAGGCGGCACGGCGCGACTCGCCACAGTCCATGAAGCTCACTGGGGACAGGGGATGGAGTGGCAGAGGGTTCTGGTGACATGGGCACACACAGCACAGCCCCACCCCTGGGGTGTGGGGTCACAGCAGTGGTGGGGATGCTCCACACACAGTGACAGCTGCCCTGCCAGGATTCCATCCTGGGCACAACACATGGTGCATCCCTGCCCTGGCTTTGGTCCAGGATGGGACATGGCAGGACTACTGTGCCACAGAATCCCTGCCAGACACTGACAATGGGGCAAGTGGCACCTGGCACATCATGTCCCAGTCCCCAGCACCATGTATGGCATGGCACCAGGCACAGCACATCCCCAGATGGGTGTTTCCCTGTGGCACTGCATGTCCCCAAGCATGGCATGTCAGCACCACTGTGCCCATGCTTCTCCAGCTGCTTTTCCAATAAAAATAAGGGCAGCAGTCATCCACTGGCACTGGCACCCAGTGCCCTGGCAGTCAGGCCCCTCAACCTGCCCAGGGACCTCCGGGACCCCCAACCCCAGGGCCAGCGGGCAGGCGGGGGTCCGGTGTCACTCGCTGGGCACCGGCTGGGCGCAGCAGAGCTGGGCCGCCACGAGGCAGCGGTCAGCGGGCATCACATGAGCGGGGCCGCGCTCCCGAACAAACCCCCTTTGTCTGGGAGAGAGTTGCTGGAGCCAGCGGCCCCCAGGCTCCGCAGCCAGCGCTGCCACCATCGCCCCGGCGTGACCCGCGCCTCGGCAAGCGGCCGTGCCAGGCGGGCGGGATGCAGCGCCGAACGGAACGGAACGGAATGGAACGGGGCCGGGGTTACGTCAGCCCACGAGCAGCCCAGGAATCCGGGGTGCCTGTGGGATGGAGGGGGGAGCAATCGCTGCCCCCTGCCCACCGCGGTGCCCCCGACCCGGCCAGGAGGAGCCGCCGGCGCGATGCCAGCCCCGCTCAGCCCCGCGGCGGGACCCCCGGCCGGGCTGGCGGAGCCGGTGGGGCCGGCTGGGCAGGAACGTGCCGGGGCAGGCGGGGAAGGAGAGGCAGCCGCGGGCGCAGCCGCAGCGCTCGGCCCTGGCCCGGGGCCCGGGGGTGCAGCGAGGGGCGGCACGGCGCCCCCAGCCCCACGCTGGTGCCGTGAGCGCTCGGTGCTCAGCCCGCACGGGGCTCGGGAACGGAGCTCAGAACCCGCTCCCCCCTTCCCGCTCTCCCCCTTTCCAACTCCCCCCCTTCCCACCTGGGTGTGCACAACCTGTTTTTCCAGCTTGGCTGAAGGAGGGCTGGCCCCAGCCCTCCTCTCCCCGGGGCTGGGAGCTGGGGGGTGGAGCGGGGGGGCCTCTCCTGGGAATGATGGGGGTGGGAGAAAAAGAGAGCTCAGAGAGTCCTACAAGGGGGATCCCCCACTTCAGCCCCCCACCACCACCACCTGCAGGACACTGGGACAACCAGACTGGTACAACCAGGCTGCCAAAGAGGGTGTGGGGCTGAGACCCCACACAGGGGATCAGGGCAGCCCCCCAAAGCCACCTCATGTCCTGTGAGGTCTCAGTGGGGCTGGGCACAGGCAGAGCATGGTGTCCCCATCCCTGCAGTGCCACCACCCCGTGTGCTGCAGCTGTGCCAGGGCAGGGGGCTCACCCCGGGGTGAAGGTGCCACGGGTGACACATCCCACTGACGTCACCCCAGTTTCGCTGTGACTTCAGACTCTCGAGGTTTCTCCACCCAGAACTGATGGGCACTGTCCCAGCCCCCACCACGTCCCCCCCATCCCAGAGCCCCCCGACCCACGGACAGAGCCCTGGCCATGCTGCAGCCCCCACGCAGGTGTTGTTGTTCGCCGCCCCGGCGCCGCGCGGGGCCTGTCTGGGCCTGTTGGAGGGAAAACACCGCGCTCAACTCATCAAGCTAATTACAGGCCGGCTTCTCAGCCTCGCCACAAGCTTTGGGGTGCTCTGTGGCCCAGCATGGCCTGGTATCCACCAGGCTCGGCCACCCCATGGCTGGCATTGCCGTGGCACAGCTGTGAATCACTGGGTGCCACACAGGCCTCAAGGGCAGATTGTCCCTTCCTTCCTCCCACGCCCTGACTGTGCCCGGAACCCAAAACTGAAAGTGCTGGTGCCAGAACAGAGGATTTCCAGCAGGTCTCAGTGCTGCAGGAAAGTCACAGGGCTGCCCGTCACCCTGGTATCAGGCCCAGCCCTGATGGACATCGGTTTGTGCGCGTTAATGATCAACCACAAGGCAAACAAACACAATTCCTGGGATATGGGGCAGGGTCCGATTCCTGGCTCTCCCAGGCGAAGCCGTTACAGAGCCGAGGATGTTTGGGAGCCTTGGTGCTGCACTGGGTGCTCAGTACCCCTCGCCCTGTGCCCACCCTGGCACACACACTGGGGTGCCAGCACCGCTCTCAGCCATGAACTGGTGCAGATGGTGACAGCCACGGCACACAGCCCCAGAGCCCACGGAGTCCCTTTTGGGGACCCCAAAGTGGCAGCAGGTCCCCAGCACATGGGTCCCCAGTGCCCCCTTGCCACACCAGAACTGGGCTTTAGTGCCAACACTGTGGGACACCGACGTCCCCAAAATCCCAGGAGCCCATCCTGGTGCCCATCCCCATGCCAAGAGCTGCTCTGGGGCCCTACACACTGGGTCCAAAGGGGGCTCACCCTGGTGAACCCGGGGTGCCAGGTGAGGCACGGGGCAGGGCAGGCGCCTGCGTGCCCCACACCCCAGCCTGCCGGCCCCGACAGGTCTGCGGTGCCTGAGTCAGCGCCGCCCGCGCCGGCGCACCCCGGGGAGCGGCTGCCGCTGCCCCCGCGCCGGGACCGGCCCGCCGTGCCGGCACCCCCGGCTGCTGCTCGCGCTGGGACCAGCAGCGCGGCCCCACCGCTGCGTGTGGACACACCAGGCTCTGTCCCCCGTGCCACCTGCCGCCACGGCAAGCCGGTCCCCACCGCCATAGTGCCGCCCCCGCTGCCACAGCGCTGTCCCCACGGGCCCATCCCCGCGGCCACGCCAGCACCTCTCGGGCACGGAGCCACGGCTTTATACCCCCCACTGCCCACCCCTGTCCCACACACCCTGTACCCATAGTCCCGTCCCCATCCTCACAGCCACCCTGTCCCCCACAGCCGGTTGTCCCCGTGTCCTTACCCCGTCCCAGTGCCCGTCCCGCCGCCACGCTGTCCCGCGGCGCCGTCAGGGCGAAGGTCTCGGCGGCGAAGCCGGGCTGGCACGACGCTGCCCGCTGGCACAGCCGCTGCCCGCTCTGCCCGGACAGAGACGTTAGCACCGGGCAGGGTCCCGAGCGAGGTCCCGCCGCCCCGGGCAGGGTCTCGGCGGGGTCCTGCCGCCCCGTTCCGTGGCTCACCTGGAGCAGGAGCACGAGGAGGCAGAGCGGGACCGAGCAACCCGCCCGCCGCCCCATGGCCGGAGCCGCTGCCGGTGCCGGTTGGTGCCGGAGGGATCGGGCGCTGCCGCCACGAAGTCGCAGGTGCGTCCGGTCCCCTCCCGATCCCTCCTCGCAGGTGTCGACCCCGCCGAGAACCGCCCCGTCCCGCCCCGACGGGAGGCGGTCCCGCCCCGCCCGCACCCGGAACCCCGGTATTCCCGGTGCCTCCGACGCCCGGTATCCCGGAACCCCCCACGGTACCGGTGCGGTACTTCTCCCACGGTCCCCGGTACCGTGGTACCTCCAGTGCCCACCGGCCCCCGGTACTGTCAACACCCCTGGAGCTCTGCCCGTCCCGGGTTCCCCCGGCTCCCCGTGCCTCTGATATTCCCAGCCCCAGCCGCACAGCCCTCTTGCTTCCCGAGCCTCTCCCATCCAGGGCAGCGGGAGCAGGGGGTGTTGGTGGGCGACAGGAGCCAGGAGCACCCCAGGGTGCCCCCGCGCCATGGCCCCAGATCCCAGCTCTGCAGCAGGGGACAAATGTCACACCAGGGACCCCTCGGGCGGGAAGGGCCCCTCAGGATGCTGCAGCCCCCGGCTTCCCCTATACCCTTCTGTCCCAAAGCACAACACAGCTAGGGAAGGAGACCCTAGGGAAGGGGACCCCAGGGACCCCCAGTACCATCATCTGCCCCCATCCCATGTGTCAGGAGCTGATCCTGGAGCCAGTGGGAGACCCCCAGAACTTGGGGTGCTGCCAGGGCCAGAGGCTGCTGTGCCAACCCATGCTAGCACCCATGGTCATCTCAGGGGGCTGGGGTGGCAGCAGGCTCTGGCAGCTCGGGCCAGGAGGGATTTAGTACCAGGAATGCCCAATGCCACCAGTGTCACTCCCATGGAGGACAGACTGGTGGTCAGTGCCCTGCCCATGCCCATCAGCACCCATGGGGGACATGAGCACTGCCCCTGCATGGGTGGCACTGCCGCTGTGCCACAGATTCCACACTGTGCTGGGCAAGGGGGGACAGGGCTGGGGAGGGGTCACTGCAGGGCTGGGGCCAGCGCCAGTCTCCAGGGCACAAAGTGACACAGAGCCTGGAACATCTAAAAAAACCAAATCCTTTATTAAAACTGACCCAGCTCCCATCCCCTTGTCCGCAGCATCACACGCCATCATTCCATACCTTAAAAAATAGATAATAACCACAAAAACGCAGGCGAGGAGGCGAGGGGGCCGCGCTGGGGTGGGGGGCACGGCAGGGGGAACCCCCAAGGCACGAAAGCAGCAATAAGGCAGAGACAGCAGCGGGCTGGGGATCCCTAATCGTCCTCCTCGCCGCCGCCGTAGAGCTCGGCCAGCTTGCGGAAGCGGCCGCCCCAGTCGTTGAGGTAGTCGTAGTCCTGGTCGCCGTCGGAGGCCGAGGAGTTGAGGGAGCTGAGCGAGGTGGCCTCCGAGCCGCTGCCCTCGTAGTCGAACACCAGCAGCGAGTCGTAGGGCGGGGCCGTGGGGTCCGTGTCGGCCGCCTTCAGGTTCTGGGGGGACAGGGGGGTCAGCACCGGCGTCCCCTGCGCTGTCACCCCCCGGGCTCTCCAGGCCAGCACTCACCTCGTCGATGAAGGTGCCGATGTCGTCGGGGTTGGCGGGGCGGGGCCGGTACTGCGGGGCTGGCAGGAGGGTGGGGGCCACGTCGTTGCGGATCACCTCGGGCCGGGCGTCCAGCCCCCGGTGCAGCTGCCGCAGGTCGTAGTTCTGGGGACACACATACATGGAGAGGGGCAGTCAGACAGCCCACGCTGTCACCAGGCCCCTGACCCCCACACCCACCTGGTCCTCCTCGCCACCACCCTCCTCCCCGTAGTAGAAGATGTTGTCCCTTGTGTCATCTTCGGGCAGCAGCAGCGGCTCCTTCGTCACCTTCCTCCTCCTCATGAAGAGCAGCAGCAGCAGCAGGAGGACTGGGGGGAAGAGTGCCATCAGCAGGGACATGTGTCCCCCGCTGTGCCCAGAGCTGGGGTATCCCCACAGCCCCAGGATCCCCACTCACGCAGCAGGGCCAGCAGCGCGCCCAGGGCGGCGAGGACGAAGGGCAGGGCGGTGACAGGCTGGGACCTCTGGGGACAGCCCTGTGCCTGCCCCTCGCAGGCACAGACCCGTGCGGTGACAACGGTCACTTGGGCTCGGCCCGGCTGGTCCAGCAGCCGCAGGTACACGCTGTAGGTGTCCGGCTCCAGCGGTGCCACCAGCTGCAGCGTCACCGTGTCACCTACATGAGATTGGGGGCTCACGGACGATGCACTGGGAACGCAGCCATGGCACAGCTGCCTCTGCCAAGGACCCCCCGCATTATGTTCAGCCCCCCTGCAATACCTGTGTCCCCCACCTCCACAGCCCAGCTGTCCTCCGAGCCGTGGGTGAGCTCGGCACGGAAGGGGCCGGTGTTGGGGGGCAGGTCCCGGTCGGTGACGGTGAGGAGCTGGGGCTGGGGGCTGCGCTGGCACACAGTGATGTCCCGTGGCTCGGCCTCGGGGCCGTTGTCGTTCACATCGAGCAGGGTGAGGAGTAGCGTGCCCGTGCCCGTGGCCGGTGGTGAGCCTGGTGGGAACAATTCTGGAAGGGGGACCCCAAACCCAGGACTCTCCTGGGGACATGGGTGACCGAGCAGGCATGGGGATAGGGGGATTCTCAAAGCCAAGGCTTTCCCAGGGACAGAGACTCTCTGGGCAAGGCTGGGAACAGTGAGGAGTGATGATGGAGAGAGCAGTCCCAAACCCAGGATCCTCAGGGGCTGGGGTGCCCCGGGCAGGGGTGGGGCCAGGCAGCCCCCACACTGCTCCATGCTGGAGCTGGGGTGTGTTTCCTGGTGATGGCAGCACGTGCTCCTCACGCGGGAGGGGGAACAAGGGCCCTTTCATGTCCCTCACCATCATCCACGGCCAGCAGCACAGCCATGTAGGTGCTGTTCTTGACGAAGGGGGACTCGCGGTCCAGGTGGTCCCGCGCGGTCACCAGGCCATTCTCGGGGTGCACGGCCAGCCAGCCCGCCGGGTCGTGCCCCACCACATACCTGGGGAGCACAGGGGAGCTGGTGCTGTGGCGAGGGGCAGCAGAGACCCCCCAAACCTCCACTCCAACCCTGTCCCCGCTCACTTGATCCTCTGGTCCTGCGCCTTGTCAGGGTCCTGGGCCGTGCAGGCTGTGAGGGTCTGCCCCGGGGGCGCATCCTCTGACACCGTGGCCAGCTGCACCGGCGGCACGAACACCGGGGCCTCATTGACATCCTCCACAGTGACCGTCACCGTCGCAGTGGCCATCGGCAGCTTCACGACGAAGGGGACCTCGTTGGCCACTGCCACGTGGAGCACAAACTGCTGCTTGGCCTCATAGTCCAGACCCTGGGAGAGGGGGAGACACGGGCAGTGAGAGTGGGACAGGCAGGACTCCCCCTGGGCAGCAATGGGGTGGCACGGGGTGGCACAGACCTTGGCGGTGCGGAGGATGCCCTCGTTGGTGGCAGGGTCGGTGGTGATGGCAAAGGCACCCCCGTCATTGCCACGCAGGATGGAGTAGACAGCTCGCCACGCCGGCGTGCCGGGCTCGTCCAGGTCGGTGACAGCCAGCCGGGCCACCTCCCGCCCGGCCACGTTCTCCGGCACGGCCGCCTCGTACTGCGGGTCAGGGGCACCATCAGCACCACGGCCCAGCGGGCACCAAGGAGAGTCACACCCAGCAGGGGGGCACACATTACCGTTTTGGGGTCAAACTCGGGGGCGTTGTCATTGACATCGGCGATCTCGATGACGGCCAGCGCTGTGGTGGTCAGTCCGTCCCCATCCAGGTCAGCTGCCTGCACGGTCAGTGTGTATTCCCGCACACGCTGTGGTGGACAGACAGACAGACACTGTGTCAGCCCCTGCTTGGGGCTGGGACCCCTGCCCACGGTGCTGCAGAGCCCACCTCCCGGTCGAGGCCGCTGGCAATCACGCTGAGGGTGCCAGTGGCCCGGTTGACAGTGAACATCTGGGGATGGGGCTCCCGTGGCTCCTGGCTGAGGATGGAGTAGGCGATGACACCATTGTAGGTCTCCACTGCATCGTCCGCATCCGTGGCTGTCACCTGCATGATGGAGGTGCCTGGGGATGTGGATGTGCAGGTAAGTGGGATGCTGGGGGGCTCAGTGCCCCGGCTGTGCCCCAGGAACATGGCTGGTGGGATGCAGAGCTTCCCCAAGGCACGGGGTCCTACCTGGCAGAGCTCCCTCTGGCACAGAGCCCCTGAACACCTCCTGCGTGAACTGGGGCTTGTTGTCATTCTGGTCTGTCACCGTCACGATGATCTCCATCGGCTCCTCCACTGGCTTCCCGTTCTCGGACACGGCGTGGGAGAAGAGCTGCGGGGTGGGGTGTGAGTGGGGGGCCTGGCAGAGCACCCCAACATCCCCTGGTGTCCCCAGGCAAGGACCTACGTGGTACTTGTCGATGTGCTCGCGGTCCAGCGGCTGCGTCACTTTCATCCAGCCCGACTCCTTCTCAATGGTGAAGATGCCCTCGGGGGGGGCATCTGCTCCCTGCCCTGTGATGCTGTAGAAGATCTTGGTGTCTCTGTCCCGGTTGGATTTGATCTGGGAGGAGACACAGCCCAAGGGGTCAGCATCCCGCAGCACCCACCTCCATGCCCAAAGCCCCAGCCCAGACTGACCAGGGTCATACCTGAACCAGCTTTTTGGGGAAGGGGCCCCTCTCATTCTCAGGAACCTTGATGGGGGGGATCACCCAGTCCCTCTTCTGCCTCCTGAGAGCAGCGCGAGCCCTGGGCAGCTCCTGTGGGATGGGGGTGAGTGAGGACACAGCCGGCTGGGGCAGCAGGGGTGGGGGACACGTGGGGCAGCGTTACCTGCGGGGAGCGCCTGCTCTCTGCGGCAACTGGGGCAGGGTCTGGCTGGCCAGCGGCATTCCGGGGAGAACCAGCATCTCGGGGGGGTACGGCGAGCACCCTGCCCACCCCCGGTAGCCGCACGGGGCCCCCGTCCTCCCGCACCCCGACATCGGGCTCCTCCGTCCTGTACGGCCCCGCGCAGCCTCCGGAGCTCCCTGCGAGGGTGAGGGGTCAGGGGGATGGGGGGACCTCTCCCCCGACACCCCCGAGCCGCAACCACCATCTCCAGGACCCTGCAATGCCCCGGAGCCCCGAGGAGGAGTGAGGCAGGGGACACCAGGAGCGGGGCAGGGAACACCGGGCGCCGTACGGGAGCGCTGTGGAAGTTTCGGTGGAAGTTTCGGCTTTGTCTCACAGATGATGGGAAATTCCTGGGCGGGCAGAGCCCTGCCCCAGCCCCCTCCCGGTGTGTCACCCCCTCGGGGCTCCCAACCCCCCGTGGCCAGATCATTGGGCACTGAATCTCCCTCCCCCGCCTCCCACGCTGCATCCCTCGTGCTGGACACAGCCCCGGCTCCGCACCCCCCGGGGGAAGGATTAGGGGATTAGCGGAGCTGAGCCAGCTCCGGGCGACCGAGCGGCCCCGGGCGGGGCTGGGGGGGCTGCGGAAGGCGTGGAGTGGGGTAGGGAGAGCCGTGCCCCACGGCTGCTCCGCACCGGAGGGACCGAGCCCGAGGGCGACGGTGGGGCCGTGTGGGGAGCAGCAACCGTGCCCCGAGGGCAGCACCGGGGCCCCTCCCGGTCGCGATGGCCGCGATAAAGGACTTTAATGGGGCTGGAGGGGCATCGGTCACCCCAAGCAGGACACGAGGAGCCCGGGACAGCCCCCAACCCCCGCCGTGGGGAGCCCCCAGCCCCGCTCCCCAGCTGTGGCGCGGGTGGCTGTTCCCTCCGAAGGGGCAGGAGGCACAGGGGGTACCCCACCATGTCTTCGGGGTCCCTCCATGGAGGGCTCACAGGGCACCGTGCCCGCTGGGTGCCGGGGCCATGTGCTGCCCACAGGGGGAGGTCGCAGTGGCGTGACCAGACCCCCGCCTGTGCCCACAGCAGGGGCCTGGCAGCGCCCACCTCCATTCCGGGCAGGCTTAGCTGATGGAAAAGGGATGTGAAACGGGATGTGGTGTCCACAGCAGACAGAGGTCGAGGCCCCTCCCTGGCACTTACCGCCAAGGAGAGCTTTTAGTGCTCCCGCGGCCATTAGACGAGCGCTGGCTGCGGCCGCGTTCCCGGGCAGCCCCAATCTCAGGGGAGCTCCCGAGCAAAGAGGGCAGCGGGCCCGGGCCAAGCGCCGGCAGCGGGCCAAGAGCTGGCAGCAGCAAGACCCTGCCCAGCCTCGGGCCAGCCGGGGCCCGCACCGCACGGCCGGAGAAGGGTGGCCCCGGGGCACCCAGCCCCGCTGCCAGCCCGGCGCCGGCCACCCACCCTGCGGGGAGCCAGCCCTGCTCGCAGCGGGCGCCCCACGGCTGGGCCGAAGGCGCTGGCATCAGCCGCCACCAGCCCAGAGAGACCAGACGGGCACCGCCGGCCCCGCGGGGCACAGTCAGCCCCATGGCCGAGCCTCACAGCCCGGTGGGACACAGCCCTAGCGCACAGGAGCGCAGCCAGCCCTATGGCGCAGCCCCTCACCCGGGGACCCCCGCCAGCCCCACAGCCGGGCACCGCGAGCTCCTCCCGAAAAGCAGCGGCCCCACCAGCGGAGGCAAAGCGATCCTGATCCCGGCAGTGAGGGAGGCCCTGCCGCCCCCCACAGTGCTCGGAGCCCCGATCCCGGTCCCGATCGCGGCCCCAGCCCGTTCCCGAGGCGTTCCGGGGGTCCCGGTGCCGCCGCGCCCCGACGGTGCGAGTTACCTGGAGCGGGGAGCGGCCCGCGGCGCAGCCCCGGGAGGACGCACGGCGGGGCCGGGGAGAGGGCGGCCGCCGGCAGGAGCGGGGAGAAGAGGAGGAGGATGAAGATGGAGAGCGGGCAGAGCCCGGAGCGCGGCCCCCGCATGGCCCGTCCGTTGCTGCTGCCGCCGCCGCCGCCGCCGCCGCCCCGGTCACCGCCCGCCGCGTCCCGCCCCGTCCCGCCCCGCAACGCCCCAGGTGAGGCGGCGGCCGCGCAGGTACCGCCCCGCCCCGGAGAGCGGCCCCAGCACGCCCCAGGCATCCCCCGGCAGTGCCTTGGACCCCTCATTGCCCCCGGGACCCTCCTAGCGGGGGTTTACCCCCTACAGCACCCCCGGCAATCCCCGATACAACACCCCGATGCCGCCCGGGCACCCCCCGTATTCCCCTGGCACCCCACGGCAATCCACGGCACCCCATGTTACCTCCCAGGCACCCACCCGTCAAGATCCAGGCACAGCCCGGTACCCCTCGGGCACCGGCCGGTACTGGAAGCTTCAGTACCCCCCGGGCACAGCCGGCACCCCTCTGAGATCCTCCTGTCAATCCGCAATACCTCCCTGGAACCCCGGGGCACCGCCTGGTAGCCTCTTGGAACGCCCTGGCAATTCTGGGCAATCCGCGATACCTCCTGCTCACCCCCAGTTGCCCGTCGGGCACCTCCCCGGTCTGTACCCATCGGCATCGCCTTGGAACCCCCTGGCACTCCCCGGTAGGGCCCGGCAATGCTCGGGCACCCCCGGTTTCTCAGTGCCGCCCCCCGGTGCCCCCGGTCTCTCAGCGCAGCCCGGTGGACACGCCCGGGCATCCCAGTATCTCCAGGCACCTTCTGGTCCCGCCACCCGTCCCTCCCGGTGCTCCCACGGCTCCTCCCGCCACGGCCCCAGCAGGAACAGCCCCCTCCCCATTCCTCGGTGCCGCCCATGGGTGCACTGGAACTCTCGGGGGGGCTCTGTGTGCCCCCCAGCCCCACGGCAGCGGGGGTTTCCATGGCCACCGAGGGACAGCCCTGGACTCCATCCCCCCAGCCTGGAGCAGCATCTCGTGTGCTGGGTCCCCCCACACGGCGCCCCCAGACCCCCCCGGGGCTGGCAGCTCTGGAAAGCCGGTTCAGCTTTCCTGGCCAAGGTCACTGACGCAACAGGGCAGGTTCCCAGCAGGCACCTGTGGGGAACAGCCGGTGCAGCTGCAGCCATGGCACCCTGCAGCTTCACACTCCTCCTCCTCCTGCTGGTGGGACCATGGCAGTGGGGCCGGGGGTGCTGCATGGCCATCCCCCGGGAGGTTCCGGGCAGAGCCGTGTCCCTCCGTGGCCCTGCAGCCCCACTCTCCATCCCACAGGACGTGCTGATCTTCCCGGAGCATGGACACGGCCTCCGGCGGCAGAAGAGGGACTGGGTCATCCCCCCCATCAACTGCCCTGAGAATGAGCGGGGACCCTTCCCCAAGAAGCTGGTCCAGGTGGGTGTGCCGGAGCTGGGCAGGGTCCAGGGGTATCCCTGGGGGAGTGGGACACACCTCAACCCCCCCCACCTGCCTCTCTGCCAGATCAAATCCAACAAGGACAAGGAGACCAAGGTTTTCTACAGCATCACGGGGCAGGGAGCGGATACCATCCCCGTGGGTGTCTTCATCATCGAGCGGGAGACGGGGTGGCTGGAGGTGACAAAACCCCTGGACCGGGAGGAGAAGGACAAATACGTGGTGAGTGAGGGGACATCTGTGGCGGGACAGGGGCAGTCCTGGGCACTGCACACACACTGACTGTGCCCTTGCAGCTCTACTCCCACGCCGTGTCGGCCAACGGGCAGCCCGTGGAAGACCCCATGGAGATCATCATCACCGTCACTGACCAGAACGACAACCGGCCCGTCTTCACCCAGGCAGTTTTCCACGGCTCTGTGCTGGAGGGAGCTGAGCCAGGTGGGACCACTGCCACGCCTGGCAGGCAGCACTGGAGGGATGTGTGACAGGTCAGCAGTAACCACCTGCTCCAGGCACATCGGTGCTGCGGGTGCTGGCCACTGATGCAGATGACGCCGTGAACTCCAGCAATGGCCTTGTGAGCTATTCCATCCTGAGCCAGGCGCCGGAGGAGCCCCAGCCTGGGATGTTCACCATCAACAGCAGCTCTGGGTTGGTCTCCGTGGCCATGCCAGGGCTGAAGGCAGAGGTGAGCCCCAGACTGAGCCCCCACCGAGCTCACCCCCCACTTGTGGGTGACACAGCCCCTTGCCACAGGCGGTCCCTGAATACACACTGGAGATCCAGGCTGCTGACCTGGGGGGATACGGGCTGCGAGCCACCGCCACCGCCCGGATCAGGGTGCAGGTGAGACGCTGAGCCTCCGGTGCCCTGGTGGTGCAGAGGGGCAGGGCAAGGCTGTGGTGAGGCCGGTGCTGGCTCCTGACAGCCCCACGTGCCCGGCTGCGGCAGCACCGATGCGCTCCAGGTGCTTTCCATGGTGGGAGGCGAGACTGGGATGGGAGCTGTGCTGTGGCTCCTCCCGGCCCGGTGTCCCAGATTCCCACCAGGCTCTGGGCCACTAGCCTCAGGGCCACGGCGCTGCTGGAGTGTGGGTGCCAGCGGGGCTCCTGGGAAGCTGCCCGTGCCAGCTCAGCCCAGCCAGGGAGGAGCACCCGGTTCTGCGGGAGCCCCGTGCCAGGATAGCGGCATCCAGCCACGCCAGCTCCACGGGGAGAGGCGGTGGCGCCAGCAAGGGAGGCCAGGGATGGCGTTTTGCGTGGGGTCACCGGCCACAGGTCCCTGGCCGAGTGGGACAGAGGACAGCCAGGT